CTCTGCTTGAACTCACACCTTAATCTTCGGGGAAGTTAATTGAAATGTTACTGCAGGGCACCTGGGTGGCTCAGTTGGTTAAGTGATTGCCTTCAGCTGGGTCATGATCCTTGAGTCCAGGGATTGAGTCCCACATCGGGCTCCCTGCTAGGCAAGGAGTCTGCTTCTCTTGCTGACCTCTCTCCTCTCATTTTCTCTCTCTCTCTCTCAAATAAATAAATAAAATCTTAAAAAAAAAGAAATGTTACTACAAAAGGAGTTAACCATAATAACTTGTAACAACAACAACAAAATTTGAAATCGGTTTTCCTAGAAACAAAAACAATTTTCCTGGATGTGAGGAATTCTCTCTGAATTATCTGAAACTGTGCTGTTTAGTGCAGTAGCCACTAGCTTTTGTGGATTTCGAATGTGACTAGTCCAAATGTGATGTGTTAGTTAGATGTGTTCTAAGTGTAAAATACACATCAGATTTTGAAGACTGTTCAGGAAAAAAAAAAAAGAAGGTAATATATCTCAAATTTTAACATTGATTATATATTGATGTGATAGCATTTTGGATATATCAGGTTAAACAAGTATATTATCAATTAATTTTACCTGTTTCTTTTTTCCCTTTCTGAATGTGGCTGTTCGAAAATTTAAAATTATATATGTGGTGTGTATTATATTCCTCCTGAGCAGTGTTGATAAGTAATTCAAACAAATATTTATACCTGAAAAGAATTTTAATGTAAATTCACATTTGATTCATTTTTTTTTTAGGACGAGAAGGTGATCCATCCTAAGTATATCAGACCCCGCTCTAAAGAACAGGTTTTTCTAAAAATTGTGGTAAAAATGGTGTTTTTTTTTTTTTAATTTAAAGATTTTTATTTATTTATTTGACAGACGGAGATCACAAGTAGGCAGAGAGGCAGGCAGAGAGAGAAGGAGGGGAAGCAGGCTCCTTGCGGAGCAGAGAGCCTGATGTGGGCTCCATCCCAGGACTCTGGGATCATGACCTGAGGCGAAGGCAGAGGCTTTAACCCATTGAGCCACCCAGGCGCCCCAAAAATGGTTTTTTTCCCCCAAATGTTTTATTTATTTATTTATTTGAGAGAGAGAGACAGTGAGAGAGCGCATGAGAGAGGAGAAAGTCAGAGGGAGAAGCAGACTTCCCATGGAGCAGGGAGCCTGATTCGGGACTCCATCCCAGGACTCCCAGATCATGACCTGAGCTGAAAGCAGTTGCTTAACCAACTGAGCCACCCAGGTGCCCAAAAATGGGGTTTTAAAATGTAAATCATTTCCTGAATGATATAAATGATGTAATAGGCTATTTTGAGTAATTACTGAGTGATCGATCGATCAGCAGTCTATCCAAGAACTGCTCTGTAGTTTTGCTTTCTTGTATATGGCCTCTTATTGAGTAATTGATCTGTAAACAAACAAGTTTGTCGAGTAGTTAAGTGTACATGGGGTGCTGCAGAGCTCTGATAAGACATTAAGAATAATCACAGTAGGGGTGCCTGGGTGGCTCAGTGGGTTAAAGGCTCTGCCTTCGGCTCAGGTCATGATCTCAGGGTCCTGGGATCAAGCCCCACATCAGGTTCTCTGCTCAGCAGGGAGCCTGCTTCCCCTCTCTCTCTGCCTGCCTCCTGCTTCCCCTCTCTCTCTGCCTGCCTCTCTGCCTACTTGTGATCTCTGTCAAATAAATAAATGAAATCTTAAAAAAAAAAAAAAAAAGAACAATCACAGTATTTTATCTCTTCTCAAAATTATGGAGTTTCTTAAAAAGGGTATTCCTGCGGTGCCTGGGTGGCTCAGTGGGTTAAGTATCTGCTTTTGGCTCAGGTCATGATCTCAGGGTCCTGGGATTGAGCCCCTCAGTGGGGAGTCTGGTTCTCTCTCTCTCTCCTCTCAAATAAATAAGATCTTAAAAAAAAAAAAAAAGTATTCCTTGTAGTCTTTGGCTTTTGGGTAGTGTCAGCGGTTGTAAGACGTCTCACATAATAAGCACAGAAGGTCTCAAACCCAATTAGGTTGTTGTGGTTATGTTTAATTTTCTTGGGGACATTTCCAGTTATACTGAAATTGGTTAATTTGAATTTCTACTGGTTCCCCAGAAATCAATGACCTTCTCCTACATGGAGCTGGCAGGTAATCTGATCACCCAGGAGGACAGGTGGGCACATTTCCGTAAAACACGTCACCTTTTCTTGAGAATTAAGTTCCTACCCATTTTCTTTTCTCTTCAGCAATTATTTATTGAGAGCTTAGTATATGCCAGATGTCAAATTATGTACAGTGGATAAAACTGTGAGTAAGTCATGGTTTCTGCTCTCAGAAAGAAAATAAGAAAATCAGTGGTTTAAAATACAGTATGGGGCGCCTGGGTGGCTCAGTGGGTTAAAGCCTCTGCCTTCAGCTCAGGTCATGATTCCAGGGTTCTGGGATTGAGCCCCGCATCGGGCTGTGCGCTCAATGGGCAGTCTGCTTCCTCCTCTCTCTGCCTGCCTCTCTGCCTACTTGTGATCTCTGTATGTCAGATAAATAAATAAAATCTTTAAAAAAAAATAAAATAAAATACAGTATAATAAATATATGCATAAGGCTGTTAGGGGAGTTGGAAGAGGTGGGTTCACTTCCTTTTAATGGTTAACGTAAATATAGGCTTAATGTCTCACTAATAAACACTTGTTTCTTGGACTCTGAAGGATAGTAAAAACTTCTTAAGGAAGAGTTTCTTGTTAACCTTTTTCTCTACCATCTCTTGGCGCTTACACATTTGAATGTTTCTACTTTAAGCAAATACATTAAGTTGTATAGTCACTTGCCCATTTTTTTTTTAAGATTTTATTTATTTATTTGACAGAGATCACAGGTAGGCAGAGAGGAAGGCAGAGAGAGAGGGGGAAGCAGGGTCCCTGCTGAGCAGAGAGCTCCATCCCAGGACTCTGGGATCATGACCTGAGCTGAAGGCAGAGGCTTTAACCCACTGAGCCACCCACGCGCCCCTCACTTGCCCATTTAAAAAAGATAAATTATGTGTAAAGATGGGGAACCTGGGTGGCGCAGTCCGTTAAGCATCTGATTCTTGATTTTGGCCCAGGTCATGATCTCAGGGTTGTGAGATTGAGGCCACACACCCCCACACCCCGCCTCACCTTGCCCGGCTCTGGGCTGGGTTAAGCATTGGGCTTGGAGCTGGCTTAAGATTCTCTTTCTCCCTCTTCCCCTGTCCCACCCCCTCCCTTAAAAAATTAATAAAAAATTAAAAAGATAAATATCTGTAATGAAAAAAATGTGTGAATATAGTTGGAAAGGGAGAAATTCTTTAGCAATGAGAGTCTTAGGGACCGCTAGCTGTTCTTTAGCCACACTTTGAGAACTGCTGCTCTACAGCAAGTAAAATATTCACTGGTTACTATACAGTGATACTACAAGTTAGTCTTAAATTGTGTTTACCTGAAACATTTTAACATGCATACTGTATGTAATTCTTACTATCTCAAGACTTATGTCCCTTATAGTGAGGTTAGATGTAAGCAGGATGCTGATCCTTCTCATCACAGTACCTGGTAGGTACATCAGATTACACAGGTATTAGTCATCGTAATACTCTAAGGCCCTATTATAGGCCTAAGTGACGATAACTTTGATGAAAGTGGGAGAAGGAGGGAAGAATAGTCTGCTATTAATCCCAGTGCCCGCCTTTCATGGTTTAGGGTAATATATATCATAGAGGTCTTTTTCTTTTTCATCTGCTGCTGCTTTAAGAACAGATTTGCCAGGGACGCCTGGGTGGCTCAGTCGGTTAAGCATCTGCCTTCAGCTCAGGTCATGATCCCAGATTCCTAGGATAGAGTCCTGTATCAGGCTCCCTGCTCCGTGGGGAGCCTGTTTCTCCCTCTGCCTGCTGTTCCCCCTGCTTGTGCACACTCTCTGACAAATAAAAAAAATCTTTAAAAAAAAAGAACAAACTTGCCAACTGAAAAAAATAGTCATCAAAAGAAACTGCAAAGAATATACATGTAAGTACAACAAATGTGTGTAGCACATGTTGTTGGTAGACAGCAAATTCTGTCCTCAAGAATTTACTCAGAAGGGTGCCTAGCTGCCTCAGTTGGTTGAGCATGCAACTCTTGATCTTGGGCCTGTGAGTTCAAGCCCCATGTTGGGTGTAGACGTTACTTAAAAATAAAATATTTTTAAAAATACAAAAAATAGGGGCATCTGGGTGTGCCAGTTGTTAGGGGTCTACCTTTGGCTTAGGTCATGGTCCCAGGGTCCTGAGATTGAGCCCCATGTTAGAATCCCTGCTTGGCAGGAGGCCTGCTTCTCTCTCACACTCCCCTTGCTTGTATTTCCTCTCTTGCTGTGTCTTTCTCTGTCAAATAAATAAAATCTTCGTGTGTGTGTGTGTGTGTGTGTGTGTATTAAAGAATTTACTCAGGAAAATACCCTGACGTGGGTGCATATGTATAAGGGATATACAAAATAATGTATGGTTGGGAGTTATCAGCACACAAATGAATAGTATTAGTATAATTTAGTAATTTTTGAATGGGACTTTTTGCTCTCAGCATTCTTTTTCATTCTTAAAATTTATTGAGCATCCCTTATTCCTATTAGTTTTTTCATATTTGAAAGTAAAGTTGAGGGGCGCCTGGGTGGCTCAGTGGGTTAAGCCGCTGCCTTCGGCTCAGGTCATGATCTCAGAGTCCTGGGATCGAGCCCCGCATCAGGCTCTCTGCTCAGCAGGGAGCCTGCTTCCTCCTCTCTCTCTGCCTGCCTCTCTGCCTGCTTGTGATCTCTCTCTGTCAAATAAATAAATAAAATCTTTAAAAAAAAAAAAAAAAAGAAAGTAAAGTTGAGGGACACCTGGGTGGTTCAGTCATTTAAGCATCTGCCTTCGGCTCAGGTCGTGATCCCAGGATTCTGGGATCAGTCCAGCATCCAGCTCCTTGCTCAGCGGGAAGTCTGCTTCTGCTTCTGCCTCTGCCTGCTAGGCCCCCTGCTTGTGCTCATTCTCTGTCTCTGGCAAGTAAATAAGTAAAATCTAAAGAAAAAAAAAGTTGAGAAATTTAAGAAACGTACTTTCTATTTCATTAAGAGTAACAGTAATAGGGGCACCTGGGGGGATCATTCAGTTAGGCATCTGCCTACGGGGCCCTAAGGATCAAGCTCTGCATCAGGCTACCTGCTTAGTTGGGGGGAGTCTCCTTCTCCCTCTTCCTCTTCCCCTGCTTGTGTGCTTGCTTTGCTCTCTCTCACTCAATCTCTCAAATAAGCAAAATCTTTAAAAAAAAAAAAAAAAAGTAACAGTAAGCCATGTTACATGTTAATGTGGATAACAATTTATAAAAGTAATCATTTTCAAAAATATTTAGAGAGAACAGTCTCATGCAAATCTCTTTCATGTCTGGCTTTAATAGAAGATAGTTGGATTCTTTTGGATTCTTCTCTCTGACTTCTACATTCAATCTCTTGTGATACATTGTTTTGGTTGAAGTATATAAATAAAAGCTGGCCTCACACAAATATGTCATTGGAAAGGAGAAGTAGTTTTTCTTTGATACAACATCACAACACAAGTAGTAGTTTCTTTTCTCTTTTTTTTAAAAATTGGGTTCCACACCCAACGTGGAGCCCAACATAGGGCTTGAATTCACAACTCTAAGATTAAGACCTGAGCTGAGACTAGGAGCCAGATGCTTAACTGACTGAGCCACCCACATGTCTCTACGTAGTAGTTTCTTAAATGTTGGTTGCATTGTGGAATCTGAAACCCTATCAATGAACTTTTCATTCATGTTAAAATCCATTGGTCTGTCTTAAATTTTGAATGGCTATCAAGAATTGGTCACTTTGCCTCGTTGCATCCAAGAGAGCAAGATGGGTTACCAGTAGCTCTACTGGAGTCATCTGAGGAAATCTGGCAAGAGTTCTCATCCCTGGGGTACCTGGGTGACTCGGTTAAGTATCTGCCTTCAGCTCAGGTCATGATCCCAGGGTCTTGGGATTAAGCCCCACATAAGGCTCCCTACTCAGTGGAGAGCCTGCTTCTCTCCCTCCATCTCCCTCTGCTGCTGTCTTGCTCTCTCTTAAATAAATAAAAATCTTAAAAAAAAAAAAAAAAAAGGTTCTCATGCTTGCCACATCTGCTCAAACTAGCGTAGTCTGATCTGAAAATACAGCCTCAGTATGTGCCACCATTGTTTCCATCAGTCTGTGAAGGATATAGGCTTCAGTAAGGTGGATTAAGTGAACTTCTTGAATGGGTCTTCTACCTTAACTGCAGATATCTAAGATACCTACTTTCATGCTAACTCTTTGTACACAAAATAAAAGTACTTCAATTAAGGGAGCGCCTGGGTGGCTCAGTGGGTTAAAGCTTCTGCCTTCGGCTCAGGTCATGATCCCAGGGTCCTGAGATCAAGCCCCACATCGGGCTCTCTGCTCAGCGGGGATCCTGCTTCCTCCCCTTTCTCTGCCTGCCTCTCTGCCTACTTGTGATCTCTGTCTCTGTGAAATAAATAAAATCTTTAAAAAAAAAAAAAAAGTACTTCAATTAAGAAAAAGAAAAATACTGGTTCACTGAGTTATATAGATCTCCCAAATGTCAGTACATTCCTTTATATAATATTAAAAAATCATATTAGTTAATCTCATCAGAACCAGTCCTATGAAAGCTTGAAGCACTGGGAAGTTGTCAAGCTCAGAGGTGGATATAAGTTCTCCAAAATTCTAATTTTCACTTGAAAGCTTGAATTTTATCATTGGCACTATTTTTCTTTCCTAGTTTTTTTTTTTGGGGGGGGGTCATGAAAGCTTAATTTTTTTCATTTTCAAGAATTAATGTTTCCTAAAACACAGATCCAAATAACCTTGGTTTGTCTGTTGGCCATTCTTTCAGGTAAAAGTGGTAGTCTGTGAAGAAAGTGATTTATTTCAGCACAGAACTCAGTTGAACTAGTGTTTCCTTGAGATAACTATATACTTTGGTGTCCAGCAAAAGTGCTTTCTGTGTACTTCCCATTTTATCACAGAATGCTTTTTTAAAATACACTCAAAGTCTGATATTTATTAAAATCAATCATTTGTATTGCTTCATCGAGGACATTCTTAAGTGAACTGGCTTAAAAATAAATAACGAAGAGGACATATAGCAAGGAAGAACACAAAAACTACTACAGTTTGCTGCCACTGCCTTGATTTATTCTCAAGCACTGTAAATTTTACCTTCCATTGCTTTGCACTATCATTGCAAATGTCAGCACAGCAACAAAGGCAAATTTTATTTCAAAAATAGTTTTTGCTTTGTGGGCCTCTAGAGAATACCTCAGGGACCCTGTGGGGTCTATAGACTATACTTTGAGACTTTCTGCTGTAATTAAATAAGATCAAGCAGGGTGAGTGTGTAGAGTAAGAAAAGAACCTGCATAGAACTCTGAGGAAACAGCACGTTTTAGCAGAGGCGGGGGCTGGGGAGCCCAACAGAAGACAAGAGGTATGACAGCTTTATAGTATTTGATAATATCAGTAGTTAGCATTTAATAAGTACTTACTTGGTCCCAGGCACTGTTCTGAGTGCTAAGCGTTGCTGAGTCCTTATAGTAACTTTATGAAGTAGGTGGATATTAGTTTATCCTTATTTTACGGGGTGAGAAAATGGGAGCATAGACAAAGTTAAATAGCATGTCTAGGTGACTCAACTAGCAGTGTATACCAAGCAGTCTAGTTCTGCCAGAGAGATAGAGGGAGAAAACTAGGAAGAGTATGGCAGTAAAGAAGCTAAGAGAAAAGAGCATTTCATGAGGGAGGGCGGGGTCAGTAACGTAGAATAATGCCGAGTGGTCAGGTAAGAGGACTGAAAAGCATCCTTTTGATTTCACAGTAGGGAGCTTGTTGACAGCTTTGGCAAGAGCAGTGCCAATGGAGTGTAGGGACAGAGGCCAGATGAGAGGGGGATGAAGACTAGGAATGAGTGGGAGTTAGAAGAGAAGGCTTGAGGAGAGAACTTTTTCCAAGAACTTCATAGTCAGAGGTGAGAGAGTGCCAGAGGGTATGAGGGGCAGGGAGAGCTGTTTAAAGATGAGAAGAACGGGGCACCTGGGTGGCTCAGTGGGTTAAAGCCTCTGCCTTCTGCTCAGGTCATGATCCCAGGGTCCTGGGATCGAGCCCCGCATCGGGCTCTCTGCTCAGTGGGGAGCCTGCTTCCTCCTTTCTCTCTCTGCCTGCCTTTCTGCCTACTTGTGATCTGTCAAATAAATAAATAAAAATCCTTAATAAAAAAAAAAATGAGAAGAACTTGAGTGTGTTTAAGTTCTGACAAGAAGAAAGAAATAGTGAGGCTGAAGAGGATAGAAAAAAAAAAAAGAATAAATAGAATGAAATTTCTGATCAGGAAGAGAACGGATCTGAAGCACAGGGATCTTAGTTTATAGAGTGACTCTGATGCCAGAAATTGAAGGGATTCCTTTCTCAGTCAAGATGTTTAAGAATCAGCTATTTCCACTTCCTTCTTCCTCCTTATATACCCTCTCTAGAGTCTTTATTCTTCTGGAATTTCTTTAGTGAAGGTTACCACAGATTTCCAAGTTGCCAAATCTAGTGGATATTGAAATCCTTGTCTTGATCTCTGCCTCATTTAATACGACTCTACCTCTGGCCTTCGTGTCCTCTAACTGCACCTTTTATGCTAGTATTTCTCAGGATCCTGACCTTGGTTTTCTTCTCAATTTGTGTTCCTTTCTTGTTGCAATCACATGCACCCCACAATTTTAGCTACCACCTATATTCTCATTCTCTTGCTCTTTGTTTTTTCTTTCTCAGGTGAGAGAGAGAGAGAGAGTGTGTGTGTGTTAAGCCCCTTTCCAAGTTTATTTGCCTACTAGACAGTTCCATTTCAATGTTCCCATAGGCACTTCAAATTCAGCATAACACAATTCATCTATTACTCCCAAATTTGCTTTCTTACCTTACGTTCTGCTTGGTTGAAACACCATAATCAAATCTCCCAAGGCAGAAATAGGGAACACTTAACTCTTTATTTTGCCTTCTACATCTCTTCAGTCACCAGGTACTATTTGTTTTACCTCCTCAGCATCTCTTGAATCAATCCTTTCCTTTCCATTTCTATAGCCTTAGGTCAGTGCTTTATCACTTAAAGCATGGAGTTTTTACAGTGGCCTTTAACTGATGACACTCCTTTTTTAATACACAAATCTATCTCTTATCCACCTCAGCCTAAAACCTCCCAATGACTACATAGGATAAAGTTCACGCTTATCATAACATACAAGGCACCTGTGATCTGGTGTACGGCTTTTTCTCCTGCCCCTATTGCCAGCCCCAAATTTGTACATTGCATAGTTCTCTAAATATTTTGTTTCTTATCTCTTTGCTTTAATACATCCTGTTCCAGCTACCTGAATGTCTTTTTTACTTTCTCCTCTTTCCACCCTACAGAAGCCACTCAAATTTTTAATGTGGGGACGCCTGGGTGGCTCAGTTGGTTAAGCAGCTGCCTTCGGCTCAGGTCATGATCCCAGCGTCCTGGGATCGAGTCCCACATCGGGCTCCTTGCTTGGCGGGGAGCCTGCTTCTCCCTCTGCCTCTGCCTGCCATTCTGTCTGCCTATGCTCGCTCTCTCTCCCTCTCCCTCTGACAAATAAATAAATAAAATCTTAAAAAAAATTTTTTTAATGTGATTAGTTTATTAAGAATTCGGTTGCAAAGGGAAGGGAATTTCGGAATCTGTTTTCTGTGGGACTCTGCATTTGCTTCTTGGGGGTACATATGTCTTGGGGCAAGATTTTTGAATGCTGCTTGTGTACCTAAGGATTAAATTCTCTAAACAGACTTTCTCTGGCCTTAAGAATCTTTATTTAAGGGGTGCCTGGGTGGCTCAGTGGGTTAAAGCCTCTGCCTTCGGCTCAGATCATGATCCCAGTGTCCTGGGATCAAGCCCTCATCGGGCTCTCTGCTTAGCAGGGAGCCTGCTTCCTCCTCTCTTTATGCCTGTTTCTCTGTCTACTTGTGATCTCCATCTGTCAAATAAATAAATAAAATCTTTAAAGAAAAAAAAAAGAATATTTAAACATCTTAGTCTCTCTCTCAAATAAATAAAATCTTTAAAAAGGACAGGAGTGGGTGCCTTGTTGGCTGAGTCAGTTAAGCATCTGCCTTAGGCTCAGGTCATGATCCCAGGGTCCTGAAATGGAGCCCCGCATCAGGCTCCCTGGAGCCTGCTTCCCCCTCTTCCTTGCCCCCTCCCCCACCCCGACTTGTGCTCTTTAAAACAAATAAGTAAAATCTTAAAAAAAAAAAAAAAATCTTCTCTCTCTTCCCACGTATGTGTGTTGGGGGGTGGGTAACATTCAGGTTCAGGTATTGTCACTTGGTCAGTGACCAAGGTCAGGTTCAGGTATTGCCTAATGTATACCATCCTCATCAGTCTGTATAAGACCTTTCTCTTTTTATTGTATTTTTCCCTTCATTCCCTATTTTGATTTCTTTGATGATTATTTTTCTTTTTTATATATAAATTCTGACACTTTATATTTTTCCAGAAATTTATCTGAGCCACTGCTTCCCAACCTAATAATGTTGCTGCACATATAGAAAATATTTTGTGTATTGCACAGTGAGGTATATGAGGCCAGAGGCTACAGACTAAGGTTACCTGGCTACCACAGGCCCCATGGATCAGCCTGAGAGCTAAGAGCAGTATCTCAGGGTAAATACAGCCCAAATATATTACTTGCCATGATACACCAGTTAAGAAGCTTGATCTATACTTTGAAATATATTTGTTATAGTACATGTTCACCAGTGATGTTGAGGTGAATCAGGAAGATAGAATTGTTAGCATAGCTCCCGTCTTTGGTATGAAAAAGCAAAGTAGTAAGTAATTTCATCTTAATTAACTCGGACCTCATTCAGCCGCTGCCATGTAGCTGCAGGGCAGGAAAAGGGCAGAATGAAATGATGTCTACAAAGCAGAACAGAAATGTTATAATCAGGTTGGGTCACTAGACTCGTGTTCCTGGAGTGGCAGGTGGATAGGAGTAGCTTACCATTCATTATAGGCCACTGAATGCCTACTAATTCAGACCTGCAGGCAAAGGGAAGTCTGGCCTTTCAAATGATTTTAAAACTTGGGCAACAGATTGATCCTGGAGAGGACAAAAAAAGCACAAGGTAAATTTGATTTCTCACTGTCATCCAGCATAGCATTTTTCAAACTATGATGTCAGGAATCTTTCACACTCTGAAAATTAGTAAGGATCTGAGAGAGTTTATGTTTATATGGAGAACAGCTACCAACACGGGCTGCTTTAGAAATTAAAATGGAAATTTAAAACAAATACTTTTTATTAATTCATTTATAAATGACAAATTGATTATATGGGTAATATAACTGATGTCTCATGAAAAATATTTCCCAAAACAAAACAAATGTGTGCTTGCTTCAGCAGCATGTATACAAAACAAAACAAAAAATTATGATAAGAATAGTATTATTTTACATTTTTATAAGTCTCATTTGTACTTGGCAGCTGTATTTCCATGTCAGCCTCTGCGTTCAGTCTATTGCAATGTCATGTAACCTGTGGAAAATTCCACTGTACACTCATGAGAGAATGAGAAAGAAAAGAATGATTCTGAAGTTATAGACTTGTTATGAGAGTGTTTGGACCTTATAGACCTCTTGAAAGTATCACTGAAACCCTAGGAGTCTCTATGCCATGCTTTGATAAGTGCTTCTCTAACAGAAATGATGAAGACCTAATTTCACTTTTCTTCATTTAGGTGATTCATTAGGAACCTAAATAAATCTATATATTTAACTTTTATCAGAAAAAAAATTCTTTTGCAACCGTAAGTCCCTATTTATGGTTTTGTGCTTCACACTGTAGCACAATATAGGTGCTCCACAAATATTTGTCACATAGATAAATTTTCTTAGGGTCTGTAGTTGTATAACTGACTGGCTGTCAGTGACTTTGTCTTTCATTGCACTCTGTGAACTAATAAGGTCAGGATATGAGCTAATTACAGCTCTAGGATATTAAGTCCACTCCAAGGTCCAGATAATAAAAAAATTATCTTGGCTTCACCCAGGTGAGCAGGGTACAAACCTGTTCCTGTTGTATGAAATAAGATTTCTTATTCTTCTTGCCTTATGCCAGAGACACCATCAGTGAGCACCCAGACTGAACTGTTCTGGTAAAAATAATAATAGGTGCCTTAAAAAATAATAAGAAGAAGAACAGCATCCACCTTTTAATGAATGTTTACTAAATATCAGGTACTGGGTGAGGCATGAATCATGTCATTTCATTTTTAAAATAACCCTGTGAAGTAGATTTTATCTCCCTCCTATAGGTGAGTAACTCACCAAGTCCTGTAGCTGGTAAACTCTAACTCGGGGCCTTTAATCACCTGACTGCTTCTGAATTGAGAAAGAGCCCTGGATCAGGGAGCAAGGGTAGGAATTGGAAAGGCTGTTTTTGTTATTGGATGTACCTCTTCATGTAATTAATGTAGATGAGAGAAGACAGTGCTTTCATCTCATATAGCACAAACTCAAAAGCAAAGAATGACTGCCTTAATTACTCCTCTGGATGCTGATCAGTCCTGGGCCCAAACTGAGTTCCAAAAGAGCAGTGGTAGGATTTGTAAGACCTGTCACTTGTCAGTTACTGAGCATTTACTGAGCACAGACACAGAACCTTGGTAAACGCAAAAACAATATTCTCTGTATATTCTGTGTTCATAAGGAGTTTAAACATGAGTGGGGTGCTAAAATATTTGTACACAGAATAATATACCAGGAAATAGAAATTAAAGTATCTACTAGTGTTGGCCTTCGAATGAAACTTTTGCACCACCTGTGTGAAAGGGGAGAATAGATTACAGATGTGGCTGACTTTGTGCTCTGAATAAATATTTCTCCATGGCTCGGGAACTTTGATGATAAGGGTAAAAAAAAGTTCTCACAGAGGAAGATAATAGTTTCTTATTCTCAGTCCCTCCCTTAGAGATAAATTCTGGATTCAAATGCAGATCAAGAAAATAGGTCAAGAGCACTCCATTGTACGCCTCCCAGTCTCATTTTCATCTTGGGACTCCGTAACGTGCTAAGAGAACGTAAAACTGGTTTTGACTCATCCTGAAAATGATTACATGAGCCTTTCCTAGAGCTAATGCTCACAGAAGTTTATTGTTGTGAAAAAGAGAGCTCTCTCTCTCTCTCTCTCCTCTCTTCCTTTCAGTAGGCTCTATGCCCTGTGTGGAGCCCAACACGGGGCTTGAACTCACAATCTGAGAGCAAGAGTCAGATGCTTAAACGACCAACCCACTGAGACACCCCTCTTTTTTATTTTCCTAAGATTTTTTTTCTTTTTAGAGTAAACTCTGTGCCCAACATGGGGCCTGAGCTCACAACCTTGAGATCAAGAGTGGTGTGTTCTATCAACTGAGCCAGCCAGGTGCCCCTACAGAGATCTTTCTTGAAGAACCAAAGAACAGTTCCTTAATTTTCAAAGATCTAAACGTTAAAAACTAAGTACAATCAGTGATAATACCATGGAATCATAGATGTAGAAAAAAATCTTAGGAATCACCTTATTACTTCTTCTAGATGATGAAACCAAGACCCAAGAGTTAAGTGACTTGACTAAGTTTATATGGCTTATTAGTGGTAGATTTGGGAATAGAACTGAATATTAACAGGTAATTTATTTCTCACCCTTCCCAATTTCCTTTCTTCCAGGCTACTGAAAGTTCTAAGTATTTACATAACCTTTTGATTAGCCAGGAAGGTGAGGGAGACATAGGATGTTTGTATTTAGGAAGAGCTCAGTCTCAGTTCTCCAGGGCCCTCCCAATTAAGATCTTCTTGATCTTCTGATGTAAGGAAATCTACTGTTTATTAAGTATCTCATTTGTGCCATGGTCTTCATGATACATTGTCTCATTGAATACTTACAAAGGTTTTATAAAGTAGACCAGTGCTGCTAACGTTTTTATGGGCATATGAAGAACACCAGAGGATCCTGTTACTGCAGATTCTGATTTTGCAGGTCTGGGATGGAGTCTGAGATTCTACATTTCCAAAAGGCTTACAGGAAAAACTAATAATGTTTTTGGCCTGTGGCCCTTATATTGAGTAGCAAGGATGTTGATGTTGTCTTCATCTTATAGATGAAAAAAATGGACTTTGAGAGGTTAATCACCCAAGTTCCTGCAGGCAGTAAGTGGTAGACTGGTAAATAAAATGATAGGTTTGACTTGGGTCTTTCTGACTCTAAAGCTCAAGATGTGATTAGGGAAGCCAGAGAACAATGGAAAAAGAGCTTAACATTCTAATATTTGGTCAACAGGTCACTTCTCAAGTGAGTCAGTGGCAGAATCCAGGACCAAATCAACAAATCCTAGTTCCCAGCCAAGTGTTTTCCCTTTTGCCCCATTAGTCCCCTAATCAGGATCTTTCCTTTGTGCTTAGCAAACCATATTTAGAAATGGCTTTGGATTTTTCTCATTACAGTTTTATTGCCAAACCCTGCGCACTTCATGTTGGCATCCAGGACAGTGGTCCCTATCCGGCCCAACCCAATGCCATCCTTGAAAAGGTGTTCATATCTATTACCAAGGTAAGTGGGCAAAGAAACAGAGGACGAGTCATGTGAGGGGTTGCTCCACAGGGAAGGGGAGGGTAGAGAGCAAGTATCTCCAAGGGTAGGGATAGGATGGGTAGTCCATATAACTGTAAGGAGAGCTTTATCCCGTCAGGGGGAATACCTTTGGGTCAGGATCCCTTAAATAAGTCAAGTTTACATACATTTGAATTTTAGGCCTACTAGCCACCACAGTCCTGCCTTTCCCAGACACACATCTTCATTTTGTTTATCCCTGCTCCAGCTTCCGTCATTATTCAGTTGCATAATCAAGATAGGGAGGGTACCAATAGCCTTTGCAGCTTGGATTTTTAATAGCTTTTTTCACTCAACTTGGGCTGGAGGGAGACAACCAGAGAAGGAGGTATATAAAGGTAAAGGTCTTTGATCTTGTAAAATAGGACTTCTTACTAAAAATGAGTTTGGGGGAAAGACAAACATCCCTTAAACTGCTGTAGTTATCATCCCTCTGCCACTCAGCTAGTCAGAGGGATTTAATGAGAGGGTCAAAGAAAAAGGGATGTTCTGACTCTGGTCATACATCTACAGTATCCTGATGAGAAGAGGCTGGAAGGCCTGTCAAAGCAACTGGACTGGGATGTCCGAAAGATCCAATGCTGGTTTCGTCATCGGAGGAATCAGGACAAGCCTCCAACGCTCACAAAGTTCTGTGAAAGCATGTAGGTGTGCATAGGGAGGTGGGGAGTGAGGAGAAGGGTAGGGTGTGACTGGACTGAGGTTTTTTTTTGCTAGGACGGTAGTCAGTGGATGTAGAGGCTAACTCAAATTATTATAGGCAGGAAAGAAGAGAACTGGAAGACTAGTCACCATTAGTGTCTTGAATATGCTTACCACTAAGCTAAATGTTGTAATTCCATTTTGTTCCCTTTTCCCAAACAGACTGGGAGGGCATTCCTCTAACTGCATTAATGTAGGTAGATAGGCACACCCTTGTACACCTTGGCAGAGATAGTACCAGCTTGCTCTAAAATGACATTTTGGTGGGAAACCTCCCTCTTCTGGATATACTATACTTCATTTCTTTTTTTTTTTTTTTAAAGATTTTATTTATTTATTTGACAGAGAGAGATTCCACAAGTAGGCAGAGAGGCAGGCAGAGAGAGAGAAGGGGAAGCAGGCTCCCTGCCGAGCAGAGAGCCCGATGCGGGACTCGATCCCAGGACCCTGAGATCATGACCTGAGCCGAAAGCAGAGGCTTAACCCACTGAGCCACCCAGGTGTCCCACTATACTTCATTTCACTGGGGTTTTACTAATTATCCTCTGGATACAGAAAACAATTTATCATTGTCATGCAAAAAAAAATATTAGGCACTATCCTTAGGGAGTGTATGGAAGAAAAGTTGATTAAAGCCAGTATATACTTGTGGAAGTCTTTTAAACAGAGCTGGAAGATGTCTCTATCATTTTGGCTTTTTAGGTAACAGTATTCGTCCCTATTTAGGAACTTCTCTGTTTTTTTTAAAGATTTTA